AGGAAGGAAGGAAGGAAGGAAGGAAGGAAGGAAGGAAGGAAGGAAGGAAGGAAGGAAGGAAGTGGGGGGAGAAGGACTGTGAGGTTGGTTGGTCAGAAGTTGGTTGTTTTCTTGTAGACATTTCATTACCCAACTAAACAACATCATGAGTGCTAGAAGGGAGTAGGGTTTGCTAAGTGGAGGAGGAGGAGGACTGTGGGGTCCTTGGTGCTCTCTGAGCTTGGTGGTTTTCCTGCGACATTACATAATCCAACTAGGTAACTTTATCAGTGCTAGAAGGGAGTGAGATTTGTAGAGAGGGAGGGAGGGAGGGAGGGAAGATAGAAGGCAGGAAGGAAGGAAGGAAGGAAGGAAGGAAGGAAGGAAGGTAGGAAGGAAGGAAGGAAGGAGGACTGTGGGGTCCTTGATGCTCTCTGAGGTTGGTGGTTTTCTTGCAGACGTTTCATTACCAAACTAAGTAACACCATCAGTGCTGGAAGGGAGTAGGGTTTGTGGAGTGAAAGGAGGAGGACTGGGGAATTCTTGGGTACTCTCTGAGATGGATGGTGTTTTTTCCAGGTGTTTTATTACCCAATAGGTAACATCATCAGTGCTAGAAGGATTAAAGAATGGGTATGCTACCTGTTCCAGAAACCAATCCGGGCGGCATCCTGTCCCATCTGTCCTTATTCGCATTTTCTTGAGCGGTGCAATATCCGGAATTTCCATGATAAAAATATCCTTTTGGCCAATTTCAAATCTGGAAGAGAAGAGATCTTTGCTCAGAACTTATGGTCCTCTAATAGGACATCAACCAGAGGGGTTTCATTGTTTTATGATTTTAGAATTGTAAACCGCCACTTGGGTTGTGTTGGGTGGCTGTAGAAATTGAATCAATAGATAAATACCCAGCTTGCTTTTATGGCTAAAGTGGGACTAGAATTCCCAGTCTCCTGGTTTCTAGACTGGTACCTTAACCACTAGATCCCCATTGGCTAAAAATGTTGCCGATCCCAGCAATAGACAGCAGGGGCCAGAGTGGGCATTGCCAGAAGCAGACAAATCTATGTGAGTTTTGTTGGTAGAATTATTCGTCTCTGTTCCTGGGTTCTTATGCTATGAGGGTATTAAACAGAGGCTGTTGTCCACAAGTCATGAATTGGATAGCAAGAGGCGTTACGTTTAATGCACACCAGAGCATAAATCTGAAGAAAAGTCTAATAAACGAAAAGGGAGAAAGAGAGAGAGAGAAAAAAATCAATTAATGGCTTGATCAGGTGCTTACTTGGAAGCCAAGCTCATTCCTCCAGACCATTAGTTCCCCTGGGTGTTTGTTTGTTTTTTCCCTTGTGTCCACTTATCAATATTTGTGCTGCTGGAGCTATTTCACAGCTAATGCTGATTTAAATTAAATTGCCTTATTATCTGAGACAGTTTAAAAAGATGTTCTGGTCAATACCTGTATCACCTTGCACTACCACTTAAAGGGGGGGCAGATTTACTACCTCTCTCTCTTTGCTCCCAATCTGAAGGTGAATAAACCATATTTTGCTACCGCAAGCATATTTAGGGGTTAAGAGGGGTTTAGGGGTTAGAGCCGCTGTGCAGTGGTGGGATTCAATTTTTTTTTACTAGCGGTTCTGTGGGCGTGGCTTGGTGGGCGTGGCAGGGGAAGGAGACTGTAAAATCTCCAGTCAGAAGTCGCATTGGCAGGTTCTCTGAACGACTCAAAATTTCCACGACCGGTTCTCCAGAACTGGGCAGAACCTGCTGAATACCCACCTCTGCCGCTGTGCTTTTGGCATTGGGATAGGAGAGCCTTACAATTTACTAGCGGGCACTCAATTTCAGCTTAATAAAAACTGAATTGGTTTTTAAAAAAGGAATTTTCTTTCCCCTAAAGATTCGGCAAGGAAAATCTCAGGAAATCTGTGAAGTCAAAGGAAGATTTGGCAGAACTTCCAATGACTTGCACAGAGGGAATCGGTTTATGGAAACCAAGGATGCATTTATGTAAATATGACTTAAGTTAAATAAGTTGTGAAGATGTGTTGGCAATTTTAATGTTTTCAAATTTCAAGATCCAATGTTTTTAACATTTTTAATATTTTGTTTTAGGAAGTTATTTATGGCATTACAATTGGTCCACCCATTATGAAAAGAAAGACTAAGAGTGACATCATAGCAATGTTCCAATATTTGAGGGGCTGCCGCAAAGAAGAAGGGGTCAATATTTTCTCCAAAGCACTTGAAGTCAGGAGAAGAAGCAATGGATGGAAAGTCATCAAAGAGAGAAGCAACCTAGAACTAAGGAGGACTTGAAGGGTCCTTGGTGCTCTCTGAGCTTGCTTGTTTTTCTTGCAGACGTTTCATTACCCAACTAGGTAACATCATCAGTGCTAGTCACTGATGATATTACTTAGTTTGGGTAATGAAACGTCTGCAAGAAAACAAGAATGCTCAGAGAGCACCAAGGACCCCTCATGTCAACTCTGAGCTACAAATATACTCCTTTATGAGTAAGAAGAAATTCCCTGACAGAACAATTAATCAGTGGAACAACTTGCCTCCAGAAGCTGTGAATGCTCCAACACTGGGAATTTTTAAGAAGAGACTGGACAGCCATCTGTCTGAAATGTTATAGGGTTTCCTGCTTGAGCAGAGGGTTGGACTAGAAGAACTCCAAGGTCCCTTCCAATCTGTTATTCTTTTGTAAGCCACCCAAAGTCCTTGATACAGAAATGGGCAGCATGTAAATTGAATAAATAAATGAATAAATAAACCTAAAACTGAGTTTGTTACACAGCAGTCTTTGTGCTCGGTTCATGCAACCATTTTGTTTGTTTGTTTAATGGATATGCCACCCAAATCACTCTGCAAAGCGATTTCTTTTTTAAAAAATATTTTATTAATTTTCCAAAGTTTAAAAATATAAAATAAAACTGCGCATTGTTATCAACATCAAGACATCTTTTACATTTCCTTACGTTTTTCAATATATGGTTACTTATTCCATTACCATTACATCTTACTCTGGTTACAAATTAATATATTTCATCTTACACTTCAATCTTTTCTATAACATATATACCTATTTACATACTTCCTCGTTCTTTTCCTAATTGCCATTTTATTTTATTTTTATTTTTAAACCACTCATACCAGGCTCTATAATATATTGAATCTTCTTTGTCTTTTAATTTCAACATTAGCCTGTCCATCTCTATACAGTCTATTATTTTCTTTATAACCGTGCCCTCTGATGGTATCTTTTTCTCCTTCCAAAGTTGCGCATACGAAATCCTTGCAGCTTTTAGTATATGTAATATAATGTACCTATCTTTTTTTTTTTTACTGAATGTTTGTGTTATTATACCTAATAAAAACAAATTCTGGGTTAAATTCAGTTTTCTGATTTATAATTTCCTCTAGCCATTGTCTGATTGTATTCCAGTATTTCTTCATTCATTTCTAATAAAGCGATTTCTGCAGCATGTTCGACCCACTAAGAAAAATGCATTTGAATCCACCCCCGCACTTTTGTTATGCTTTGGTGTTTGGCGGGTGGGGGAAGCTCTTAGTATTTTTTTCATTAGGCTTAATGCTTATTTTAGGACTTGCACAACAATGTTCATGTTTTTGCACTTCAACACAACAGCGACAACTCTTGTCGCTGATTTGTAGCAATCATGCCATCAAAATTTGGCAGCGTAATCAGGAGTTTGCATATAACAGAATTATAGTTTGGAAGTATTTCTTTGATGTCTAAGTCAGCATGGGTTCCTGGTGACTGCCTGCACAACTCCCTATAGTTTTCTTGGCAATATGTTGGAAGTGATTTGCCATTGCCTCCTTCCTAGGGGTGGAGAGAAAATGGCTGGCCCAAGGTCAACCAGCTGGCTTCATGCCCAAGGCAGGACTAGAACTCACCATCTCCTGGTTCCTAGCCTGGTGCCTTAACCACTATACCAAACACTCTCTCTTGTTTGTAGTTAAAGCACAAGCTTAATCTCCAGAAAACTTTTCTGGTTCAGTCCTTTGCCTTCAAACCAACACAGGAAGAAAAAAAACCTTCCCTTTGCTAGTATCGGAGCATTTGCAGGGTCACTACTATTGTGAGACAACCCAGGAGCCAAACACAGCACACAGAGGCTTTGACTATTTAACAGTGCTTATATACAAGACATATACAGAAATATACGCTGCAGGCAAACACCTGACAAGCAATCAATCTTCTTAACTCTGTACAGAAAACTCTGCAATGGAGACCGGACCCCTTTCCTAAGAGGTCTGTAGGGGGCGTGCATAAGCGCACCAACGTGCCTACCGTCCCTGTCCTATTGTTTCTCTATTCTTTTATTTTTCTTATATGTACCCATCTCATGTATTCACAACTATGTATACACTTATACTTATTATCTTGTAAACAATTGACAAATCAAATAAATAAATAAATAAATAAATAGAATTCTCCCTCTAATGGCTGCCTTATACAAACACCTCTTAAAGTGATAAAACTTCCGTGGACCCTTTCTTAGTCTAAAACTGGCAATACCAATGCTGATTCATCTTCACGGCATTGTCCTTACATTGCATCAGCTTTACAGCTGGTCAGCTCTTAAATCCCAATACCTCAACAACTAGAGACTTGGGATTCATGATCAATTAGACTGTACAACAGAGGGGGGAAAAGTGATAGAAAAGACAATTTTTCTTTTTCTTTTCCCTGAGAAAGCAGAGTTTAAGAATTCCTGACTTTCCCCAAGCCCGCATCCCCCCCCCAGCCAAACCCTCACCCCAAAAAAACCCAGTGGTTTAGGATTTAACAATGAAGATTTGTTTCCCCTCAGACTTAATTCCAATATTGACTTTCTCTAAGATCTTTGGACTTGGGTTTTCTTAATGGTTTCCCATCCAACTATTAATCGCATTATCTCCTGGTTAGCTTTTTTTTTTTCCAGAGAAGCCAAAATTGGGGCTACCACCTAACTGGGCTGCCTTGTGGCCTTCTATCTGCTTCTATATTATTGCTGCCTGCCACTGATACAGATAGTCCCTGACTTGCAACAGTTCATTTAGTGACAGTGCAAAATAACAAGGGCACTGAAAAAAAAAGGGACTTAATGACCATTTTTCACATTTACGACCGTTGTAGTAGCTCCCTGGTCATGTGAAAAAAATTCGGACGCTTGGCAAATGGCTCGTCTTTAGGACGGTTGCAGTGTCCTGGGGTTCATGCGATCCCATTTTGCGCCCTTCTGACAAGCCAAGTCATTGGGGAAGCCAGATTCACTTAACAACGGTATTACTGATTTAGCAAGTACAGGGATTGACTTAACAACCGTGGCATGAAAGGTCGTAAAATGGGGCAAAACTCTCTTAACAGCCATCTTGCTTAGCAACATAAATTTTGGGCTCAATTGTGGTCATAAGTCGAGGACTACCTGCACTAGGCCGAAAAAATTATTTGGCATTGTTTTTCCTGATAGATCTCATGGAATGAGAATTTTCTTCTAATGGCTGTTGGTCTTGATGGCAGGAAACTATAGTCATGGGAAAAGGAAACTTCCGAATAATTATCTGGCAGGTTTTAGTGCAACACAGGTAAATTTAAAATCGCCTTTCATGGGTGACTCCTCCCCAAATACCTTGGATCAAGAGAGCCAGTTGGAAGAGCTCAATGTTGTGGCCCACTGGCAGTCTGTGAAAATGGCAGCAGAGTTGGACAGTGGGGAGGAACAGGGCCCAGTCCGGGAGTCTGGGGAGGACTCCGACGCGGGTCCTGCGTCCAATGCAGAGATGGGGTCAGGGCCATCTGGGAGTTATGTGCTGACTCCGGAGCCTCCAGAATCTGACAGCAGCGAGGAAGAGGAACAAGGGGAGCCTGTTCCCAGTGCGCACTTGAGCAGAGCTGCCAGAAGGCAACAGCAGTTAAGACAAAAGGGGCGACTCGGGAGAAAGGCTTGTCTCACTTGATCAGAACAGCCAACCTATCTGGAAAGCGAGATGGTGATGTTTGCTGCTGAAGTGTCTGTTACCTGTTTCCATTTTTTTCCAGCTGGATCTCTTCTGAACACCCACTGGTTCCAAAGAATGTGAAAAAAATGCCCGTGTCCGTTCCAGCCTGTGACAAATCTCCAGTCTCCACGGTCACTTCATAGAGAATCTGTGGAAAATAGAAGTTCACATTTAGCCACCAAAAAAAAAAAAAAACACCCAGATTTTAAAAACTAAAATAGAACCAACCCACAAATGCCAAGAGACTGTTGGAAGAATTATCCTTCTGGGTTCAGTACCAAGTGGGGAAAAAGACTATTAGAAACATGAGGAGGCTGTTTGGAAAGATGGTTTAATGGTAGACAGGACCACATGGCTTGGGGCTCCAAAGTGAAAGGACGATCATATGCTTCAAGATGTTGGGTGAAGGAAAAGAAGGAGCAAGATGCTGAGAGACCCTTAGTTATATACCCTCTGTTGGACCCCCACCCTGGTGTTTCCTGTTCCTGTGTAAGAAATGTATCCCATTGGCTGTCAGACTCCCAGGGACGGGATCTTAGCTAACTTTGTAGACTTTGTCTGGACCACACCTGAGTGCTGGCTGATGCAATCTTCACAGGCCAGGTGGTGAGATGGGTAGAGGTCTTTGTTATGTAGAATACTCTGGCCCAGGCCTTAATGGCCCGCCCATTAACAAAGGTGTGGGGCGGTGAACTTCTGCTTCTGAGGTGAGTTTCTGCTTTTGAGTTTCTACTTCTCTTTTTTAGGGGAAATATTCTGCCTTTTTAATATTTCCTAGGATATTTCATTTTTCTAGGAGAGGGGTGGGTGCTAACTTCCTACAAGACTAAGCCACCATCTTTAAAATAGGGATATTGGATTGGACAGGGAATCAGAGTCATTGGCTTTACATTGCAAAATTGGCTTCCATTTATACACTGTAGCTGGGTATCTGTCTAGGTGTGGTAGAGGAGAATGAATTAACTCTGAAGATGGAACTAATTTCTGCATTGCAAAACATGTTTTGGAATCAGCTGAAAAAATGGACTTCTTTCCCATTCCTCTGATCTTTCGTATTCTCTGTCTGTCTGTCCATCTGTCCATCCGTCTGTCCATCCGTCTGTCTGTCTGTTTGTCTCTGTCTGTCTCTCTCTGTCTGTCTCTCTCTCTCTCTGTGTAAGAAAACAATCAAGCAAAGAGCACAAATAACCCGTCTCTCTTTCTCTCTCTCTCTCTCTTTCTCTCTTTCTCTCTCTCTCTCTCTCTCCCTCCCTCCCTCTCTCTTTCCCTGTCACTCTCTTTTTCTCTCACAAAGTGAAAGAGAGAGAGGGGGGAAAGAGAGAGAGTGGGAGGGAGGGAGAGAAAGAGAGAGAGAGAGAGAGAGAAAGAGAGACGGGTTATTTGTGTTCTTTGCTTGGTTGTTTTCTTGTAGATGTTTCATTACCCAAACCAGGTAACATCGTCAGGGCTAATGATGTTGTTACCTAGTTTGGGTAATAAAATGTCTGCAAAAAAAAAAAAAAACCCAACCAAGTTCAGTGAGCACCAACCCTGAGCTGCAAATATTCTCCTTTATTGGTGGGTGGATGTGTTACTTCAAGTCAGTGTTGACTCTTGCCAACTGCTTGGACAGATCTCTGCAGTTTTCTTGGCAAAATTTCAGAAGTTGTTCGCTGCTGTTTGTTTCCTAGGAATGAGAAGGTGTGGCTAGACCAAGATCACCCAGCTGGCTTTATGTCTAAGCCAGCACTAGAATTCACAGTCACCTGATTTTCAGTCTGGTGTCTTAAGCATTACACCCAACTGGCTCAATGCAGAATTAATTTATATATTGTCCATCTATCAACATGTCCAAGATTATCCAATGGCCAGGTTTCAAAAAGTTGTCTTACCATGACAACTCAATGAAATATGCATTTTTAAAAAACAAACAAACGAGGACAATTCTAAAATAAATGAGGGAACTTGCCAGTTGAACATATCCCAGAAAGGGTATGGCTAGCTGACGAGAGTTAAATAGCTTGAAATAGATCTATACCAGAAGTGGTATTCAGCAGGTTCTGACCAGTTCTGGAGAACTGGTAGCAGGGGTGGGATTCTACCAGTTCGCACCTATTCGCTAGAACCAGTTGTTAACATTCTAAGCAGTTCAGAAGACCAGTTGTTAGAAGAAATTACTGGGCTAATCCTGTAAGGAAGGCAGGAAGGAAACATTCTGGTGTTGCTTACAGAAACTGCCTCTCTGTTAACCCTTATTACATTCTTGGCAGGACTAGACTTCCTGTCTCAGGAACCTCTCTGCCCATCCAGTCACATGACCACCAAGCCATGCCCACCAACTAAGCCACGCCCACAGAACCGGTTGTTAAAAAAATTGAATCCCACCCCTGTTTCTGGGGAACTATTTTTTGCTACATCTGCAAAGCGAGTTTTACGTCCCCATAAACGTGCTCCAAATATGATGCCCCCCCCCAAAAAGAAGATCCCTGTTTTACACCATATACAAGGGTAATAATACCCTTCTTAATGTGATTTCTTTCTATGCTCAAGGTCACCCCCAAAGAGACAAATTAAAGACAATATGAGAGTAATCTTGGACACTTTGGAATACTACGAGGCACATCCTGAAAAACAAATGGCTCTGATATTTCTAGATGCACAGAAGGCATTTGATAATGTGAATTGGCGATTCATGTTATTACTGCTGGAACAGATGGGCTTTGCTAGAAAATTTATTCAAGCAATAGAAGCTATTTATCATAAGCAAATGGCAAAGGTAATGATAGAGGGAGAACTGACAGACTCTATCGATATAAGAAAAGGAACAAGACAAGGGTGCCCACTATCACCTCTGTAGTTTGTGTTAACCTTGGAAGTGCTAAATAGAAATATTAGAGATGAAAAGAATATAAAAGGGATGAAAATTAAAAAGGAAGAATTTAAGTTGCAAGCATTTGCAGATGATCTGGTTTTCATCTTAGAAGACCCACTAGAAACAGCATCAAAATTGATAGAAAAGATAGAGACATATGGAAAGGTGGCTGGTTTGAAAATAAATAAAGATAAGACAAAGATCTTGACAAAGAATATGCTATCAAGACAAAAGGAAGAACTGGTAGACCTATTGAAAATTCAGGTTACGAATAAGATCAAGTACTTGGGGATATACTTGACAGCAAGATGCAGTACACTAAAAGAGAATAATTATATCAAACTTAAACAGCAGATAGTGCTAGATTTGGCGGAATGGGAAAATTTACAACTGTCATTAATAGGGAGAATATCAACAATCAAGATGAATATATTTCCCAGAGTTTTATATTTTTTTCAAACAATTCCAATTAGGCTTAGAAAAGACTACTTTGAAGATTTAAATAAAATTGTGTTGAAATATATATGGCAAGGTAAGAAAGCGAGAATAAAGTTAAAACTTTTGCAAGATGCTAGAATAAGTGGAGGATTTGGTTTGCCTAATTGGGAGTTGTATTACCAAGCTACAAATTTGATGTGGGTTAAGGAATGGATAACATTAAGAAATATTAGATTGTTGACATTAGAAGGACATGATCTGTTGTTGGGGTGGCGTGTTTTTCTATGGCATAAAGGAACTAAAACACAGGGGTATTTTAGAAGACATTATATACGGGAGTCTCTGTGGTTAAACTGGGAGAAGATTAAAAGACAATGTTATTTGAAAATTCCAGTCTGGCTATCGACTATTGAAGCATTTTCTTATCCTATAATATACAAAAAGGAACAAATAGTTAGATATAGTGAAATACTGAATGAAAAGGGTGAACTTAAATCCATACAAAAACTAGAGGAACGAGGTACAAAGATGAGTTGGTTTTCATATGCGCAGATACATTCAAGAGCAATTGCGTTCTCTTCGCTGATGATGTAAAGCTGTTCAATACCACAGACAATACTACTACCCTACAAAAAGCTCTAGACTATGTATCTGAATGGTCTAACATATGGCAACTTCAAATCTCAACAAATAAATGCTCTGTCTTACATATTGGTAAAAAAAATCAGAAAATAAAATACAAGCTGAATAATCAAGATCTTGTTGATGACCCAAGCTCTGTAAAGGACCTGGGAATACTCACCTCTAATGATCTAAGTGCTAGAGCTCACTGCAACTACATAGCCAAAAAGGCATTAAGAGTTGTTAACCTAATCCTACGTTGCTTTTTCTCTGGTAATATCTCACTACTAACCAGAGCATACAAAACATTTGCTAGACCAATACTCGAATACAGTTCATCAGTATGGAATCCTTATCACGTATGTGATATTAACACAATTGAGAAAGTCCAGAAGTATTTCACAAGAAGAGTTCTCCACTCTTCTACCTGTTGTAGAATACCTTATGCCACCAGACTCGAAATTCTAAAACTAGAAAACCTCGAATTACGCCGTCTTCGGTCCGACTTAAGCATGGTATATAAAATCATACATTGCAATGTCCTACCTGTCAATGAATACTTCAGCTTTAACCATAACAACACAAGAGCACACAACAGATACAAACTCAAAGTAAACCGCACCAAACTTGATTGCAGGAAATACGACTTCAGCAATAGAGTGGTCAATGTCTGGAATACTCTACCCGACTCTGTAGTCTCTTCCCCAAACTCCAAAAACTTTAACCTTAGACTGTCTACTATTGACCTCACCCCTTTCCTAAGAGGTCTGTAGGGGGCGTGCATAAGCGCACCAACGTGCCTACCGTCCCTGTCCTATTGTTTCTCTTATTCTTTTATTTTTCTTATATGTACCCATTTCATATATTCACAACTATGTATACACTTGTACTTATTATCTTGTAAACAATTGACAAATCAAATAAATAAATAAATAAATAAATATGATAAAGATTCTAAAACAGAAGGTTTCTATGATAAACTGACTGACTTAGATAAGATTTTGACAGGTACTGATGAAAAGGTGATTAAAAAATTGTATGGATATTTATTAGAAATTAAACTAGAAGAAGAACAAGATAAAGAAACTATGATTGCTTGGGGGAAGAATTTTGGATATGGGATTGATTTAGAGAAATGGCAAAAATTGTGGTCTCAAAATTATAAAATGACAATGTCAACAGCATATAAAGAAAATTTGTATAAGATGTTTTACAGGTGGCATTTCCCCCCGACAAGA